GAAAGATCAAAATGGGGACACCCAGGTGGCTCAGTCAGTTAAGCCTCTGACTCTTGATTTCAGCTCAAGTCAATGCTCTCAAGATTCCCTCTCTCCCTTTCCCACTGCACTTCCCCTGCTCTCATGCACTGTGAAATAAATAAATAAGCAAACAAACAAACAAAACGGATTTCCTGATTGAAGCAATCAGCAAATAGAATCAACTGGATCAATCTGACAAAGTTGGAAAGGAATAGAAGACTTTAAACATGTCAGTTGGTGGGGCACCTGGATGGCTCAGTCAGTTGGGCATCCGACTTTGGCTCAGGTCATGATCTCACAGTTCGTGGGTTTGAGCCCCGCATCAGGCTCTGTGCTGACAGCTCAGAGCCTGGAGCCTGCTTCAGATTCTGTGTTTCTTTCTCTCTCTCTCTCAAAAATAAGAATAAACATTAAAAAGTGGCTTTAAAAAACAAATAAACGTGACAGTTGTTAACAGATATGTCTGCAGTTGTAGTTCATAATAAAGTTCAAGTCTGAACATAAAAGAACTATGCCAGAGGTGAGATTTTTATTGACTTATTATCATAATTCTTCAGCATACAAAGTATTTAATCAAGTATAATATTTACAATTCTTACATAATGTACATTTTAGAATAACTATAAAGATAATGTACTTTTGTTCCATTTACAATGACAAACTACAGTAAAACTACATTCATGAATTAGATACAAATCCTCTACATACTAATAAAAAGTAAATGGAGTGTTGGTTATACATTCTTTAAAATATTCCTTTTCACAGGTAGCAAGAAATATTACATGTAATAAGTCTTTATGACTGGAATGATCCAGAAATATCACAAAGCACAAGTAAACACATATAGAAAGGTAGCTCATCATTTCCAAAAGTTAACCTTTAGGCCTTTGTGTAAAATAAATGTTGCCAGCAATATTTATAATGTAGCAAGCTTTCCCTGTTTAAAATTAACACCCAAAGCAGGGGGTTGTTGAGGAAAAATAAGAAAATCTAGAACACAAGTCAGTGAAAAGACCAATGCAGAGAAAAGTTTATTTAATCAAACCTTGCTTCCTTCTCCTTAAGTAGATAAACGTATGTAAATGGAAAAAGATGTCCACAGAATCGTATTTATAGATGTTAGGATTCAGCCAAACTGAATCCAAGCCCTAGGTTACCTTTCATTTGGAAACATCAAGACTTTGGTAAGTATATGGTGAATTAAAATGACCTTACCATGTTTTGCTTTCATTAATGTTTGTCATTACAAAAATGTAATATTTCCTATAATTTAATGGCTTCAAATCCTAATCTATTCCTTCAAGATAATTTTATATCCAGGTTCTTCAGAATATTTGGTCTTTGTTATCAAAACACAAGGAAAGCTGGCAGGCATTATCAGATTTTGCAGCTTTATAATGATTTCAATTTATTTCATGATACAAGTAAAGTGCCTCTGACTAGTAGTCAGACAGGGGTTCTGGTGTCAGCCGTGCCACCGATGAGAAAATCAATGGCTCCCCTCTGTAAAACAAGAGGAGCAGCCCAGGATCAAAGAAGAGAAACGACGGCATTCTTCAGAAGTCCTAGTGTAAGAATCGGGTGAGACAGAGTAGTATCAAAGTACACTGCGAGCAGAAGAGAAGACAAAGGGATACTGTGATAGTTTTACCATGTTTCATCCACTCATTTTATTTGTGAGAAGCTCTGAATCCAAAAAGGAGAGTAACTACTAGTCAGTGCTCTTTGCACTGTATCATGCAGGTCTGAAGTCATTCTGGACATAATAATTCTATAAAAATATATCCTTTTTCCTGCTCCTGTCCATGGCCAAAAGTGCTATCAAACAGAAAAGTTAATATGGCAATATAAGAGTGGTATGGGAATATCTTATTATCCAAAATGGGTAGTAAATTTAGTCTTAAATACAATTTGGTTTATTGTCATGTCTATACTTTACATGTGTAGAATTATATTTTTAAAATACTGCTTAACACATCACAAACTGAAGTTGTCCAGCCTGCGAAGGTATAATTTTTTTTTTTCCAAAATGCACTCATGAAGAACCAAAGTACATATTCCAAATTAAATTATGTTTTGGAAAGTAAACATCAAAGTTCATTAAAATCAATAGTGAAGACCAGTATAAATTAGGCAAACACTGTAATGTAGTGAATCCCTGGAAATTTCTGTATTTCTAAGGATTGTAACAAAGGTAATTTTTAAATACCTTAGAAATCTTAAACATATAGGTGTTACAAGGAAACACTGCAAATAACTACTCAATTACTTTAGTCTAGTTCTAGCGTGAGACTGCATTCTATGAGCTCTTCGTAGTTAGTACTGCTATTGTTATTTTGATGTTAATCTAGCTTTTAAGTTACTGCGCTAATGATAATGAGCTAATAGAATACTGACTAGGAATCAGAAACTAATATAAGCAGATCAGTTAGGGAAAGAAAACAAAGGGCAAGCACATTGAATTATGAAGCCCAAAAGTATGATTAACATTGTTTACACTATAATTTCTCATAATGCATTGAATAATTCACAGCATAATAAAACTCAGATTTGTTATATACTATATAAAAGCTATTAGTTGACACAGCTAAATTCACCTTGGCAAGAGCCAATCTACTTTGTGACTATGTAACACTAGTAATTGACTTTAAAGCCTTGCTATATTGACTGCATCATTTCTGCCAAATTTCATCCAAACTGAGTCTTGGCATGTTCAAGAAATCAAGCCACAGGAATGTATTTTCGTATTGCCAGGCTCAGTATACTGTTAAAAGATTTAGCTTTCTCTGAAGATATTCAGAACCACGATCATCTTTAAAGTGAGTACCCTTCAAATACATCTCTAACCATTAAATTTAGGTAGACACTAATTACTACCACATTAACAACTCATGATTCAAGCCACAGGAGTTAAGAGTGTCATAAGGAACTGCCGTCACAAGGAGAGATCCCGGAGGTGATCTGAAGCACCCAACGGCTGGATCCAAAAGCCAAACTGTCCAGGCTTCCCAGATAAAGGTTAGGAGCTTCAGAAGTGAAGCCCTACGATTAAACAGGAAGTCTATATTCTAATTCTACCAGGCTTAGGAATAATTTCACATATTATTACTTATTATTCAGGAATAGGCACTACAAAGGAAAGGTGAGGCCCTCTTTTTCTTTTGGTTTGTTTTAAACATATTTCCTTATCCTTGAACTTTTTGGACAATTTCAAAGTACACTCTAATAAAAAGGTTTACAAACCAGACTTTTGCAAAGCCAGATGACCTGTGACTATGAGGTGAAACAGGGAAGATTTCATAATGTTACTGTTATTGTTGCAATTAAAATACAGGCTGTGGAAGTTAGTATTTTCTTAGAAATATTTCATAAATATATTTTATCCTTATCTAATACACTGTGATTATTACTAAATAAGCATTATATGCACACAATTTGGAAACAAATATGGAAACTTTGCTGTGACATGAATTTACTTCAGTGTAATTCCTATTTAAACAAATCCTCATTTGACATTATATCAACTTATAAAACTCTAGTTATTGGGGGGAAGAATGTTAGAAAACTTATTATCTGCCAAATTAAATGTAATCTTTCTACTTGTTTGATAACCCAAATTTTTAAAATTCTTATTTAGAATTTGGGTATCAATAATATTACTTACATGTAACTTGTAAAAGATTAAATTTAATTGTTGACAATTATTAGAAACCATAAGGCAAATTACTTATTTTATACTCCTGACAAGATATGTCAATCAAAGATGGAATCAGACGAATTTATAGCATTTACATGATAAATTAGTAGATCTGTAAGGTTTCGGAATTCAAGGGTCTCTGTTTCATGTAAGCCAACCACTATATCTATATATAGACGGTATTAATTTAAAATCATATACACTGTGTATAAAAGTACACAGGATAGATGTTGAAAAAAATTAAAAACAATTTATCATTATATATTTCAGTATAACCTAAGAAAAACATGAGTTTTTTCTTTTTCAGAGATTTTTCTTTCACTCAGTGCAACAGCAAAAATCTATCTTGAAAAGGACAAATTTCAAATATAAAAATGTTCTACATTATTTTATAAATCAACTTTTCCTTTAAAAATTACAATTTGATGAAAGCATAATTTTGCAACATTCAAGTAACCTTTGAAACATAGTTTTATTACATCAATAAATTTGTCAAGGTTTTAGGAAATCAACCGAACAATGAAGGACTACAATTTCTTTAAGTAAGAATTCTTTTGGTGATTTTAAAAAAAAAAAATGTTAAGGGTTCTTTTCCTCCAAAAAATGGAGTAACTCTAAAGGACTTGAGTTCAGTCTACTTTGTACAGCCATTACATGTATGTTAAAGTACACAACAATAACCAGACGTCTAAGGAGTATCACTACATTAATGAGCAAACGGGGTAAACATATTCTCTAGTTCTGATAATGAAATTACATATTGTGAGTATGACAGCTAGGCTACCAAAACCACACATGAACCACCAAAAATCATCAGGGCGGCTAAAGACAAGACATATTCTTCAGGCAAGCAGGACAGTTGGCTCCCACTTGATGCAGACATGCTTGACTGAATGATCCTGGGCACGATGAATGGAAAACAAAAACCAATGCTACCAACCATTGGAAAAAAACAGAAATTTTGTCTAACCTTAGCATCTTGTAACCTAGAGATGGCCTAGGTCTAGATTTAACTTTATCTATAAAAAAATAGCCTTTTAAACAGGCTTTTTTTTTTTTTTTTTTTAAATAAAAGCGGTCCTTAGGTTCTTCTCCCAACTACTAGAACTCTATGTTTTCATTTATAAAAATATCAATGAATGGGTACCTTTTTTCCAAACCACTCAATACCTACTAAAATTAAGTAGATTTAAGGCAGTAAAAATTTGTGAGTTTTCAGACGTACACATTAGTACATTAGGGGATCATTCAATTTAATCTTTTCCCCTTCTTTAAAAAAAACTCAGAATTTCTGTGAATCTTGTTGGAAACGATTTAGTTTCTCTGGATTATTGGATGCCATTTGGGAAAAATCACGAAAAATATCCTGGTAGGTTTCATCACCTGCATGAAAGTAAAATAAAGACACTTTTAAAATTTATACAGTGAAAGTGTTAATAAACAACATTCATTTTATGGCTAGTAACTATATTATAATTAACCATACTCAAATTTTACTCAGATGAGCATATAGGGGAGAAAAAAAGACCCACTAAATATAAATGCTAGAAAAGCACATAGTGAAAGAAAAGAAACAGCTATACCTGAGAAAAGCACCTCAGAGGCAGCCACAGAGGAAAGCTCAGAGTTAGAAAAGAGCAAAGATGCAAGTGTTTTAGAGCAATATAAAGAAATACATTTATTTACATAGAAATAAAAGTCATTCTAAATGAGGTATAGTAAACAAGGCATTCTTTAAATAAATATTTCCCTTGATCAAGGCCAAAAGAAAAGACCAATAACAAATACTAATGCTTCTGATGGATGCAAGTTATTAATAAGACAAAACTGATAACCAGGTGAGCAAAAAAAAAAAAAAAATCCTATTTTAATAATTATCTTTGAGCTAAAAGGCATTTTAATTTAAATAGCATGTGAACAAGAAATTCTTTACTCAAACTTAACTAAAAGTAATACACCTAATCCACTGCTTACGGAGCTTATAGAATAATAAAGCCTAGAAAAGGACTGTAAGATCAGTTTCCTATTTTGTCAGAAGTGTTTTGCTTACTGTAGGTCATATGAGCAAGAATGCTATGACAAAGGGGAATAAACACCAAAGATGTCGGTTAAATTAGCATAAGGCATGTATGTATGTACATACAAATAGGCTCGTAGAGAAGTAGATGTAGATACTGATACTATAGCCAACTGAATACTATTTTTCTTGCCATGACAAACTAGTTATATGCACACATAAAGATTAATTCCTCAGACCAAGGATTTGTATAAAGTAAAATCTCATTTTCAAGATCAATCTTTCATCATATATACTTCTGACAGACGTTAGGTTTACACAGAAGCTTAGCATAGCTCTGTTTTCAAGATTTAAACCGTCAAAAGTGTTTTAAATGATTATTGTTGCAGCATGGTTTTATAATTATTTCCCATAAGATATCTTGCATCCATCTTATTACAAACTCATTGCTACAATTGTTAATAGTGCAGTTGATTTTATCAGCTTTTAAAAAGCAAGATTTTTGAGGCAACAGGTGTCATACCAAAAGCCAGAGAATCAGAAAAAAGGTGGGGGAGGGGGATAAAGATCTAGTATAAAGGTCTAACAGCATAATTCAAGATTTTCAATAAAAAAAGTTAATACTTTTAACCTTTAGTCATTTTTAACATTTAGTCTATGTAAAAAGCAAGTTATTAAAATCTCTATATAGTTTTCATTTAGTCCTGGAAATTTTCTCATGACCTGAATCAATCTACTTTAAAAAGAAAAAATACAGTAAGAAGAAAATCTTGATAGTTGGTTAAGAGTACCATCTAACTCATATTCTGTTATTGAAACAATAAAAATGAAATTTGATATACTGGAACAACTGTTAAGACAATCCAATTACACCCATGATTTTTTAAAAGGTAAACTCCCATGTTAAAAGACAAACTACAAACCTATTCCCATTTTTAGCCATTCTAAAAGATATAAAATAAACTGAGAAGAGACCAACATTAAATATTAACAAACCATACAAAATATTTAAAAATTCATATTCTTAGATGTTGAATTAAAATATTGAAAATATTTATTGTAAACATTATAAATATTTTTAAAATACTATTTAAACTTGAGAGTCTGGAATTTTACTTTCCAAGGAAGTGTAAAGTGCAGGTTATAATACAAAAATAACACACTGATCTTACCATTCAACACCAGAAGTAACTTAAAAGGCACACATTATACATTCAAGAAGAAATAGGAAGAAGGATCTAGCAGACGCTAATGCCAAATACTTTACAGATAGCACCAGATGAGCATTCTTAAGTATTACAACAGTACAATGGCAATATATGGCTTCTACTATTAGCAATGCATATTTTGTATAACAAACTGTAGGGTTTTTTCTTTTTTGTGGTTTTCCAGCTTTTGTTCTTAAATCATCTAGTACCTATTACACAAGTACATTTTAGTAGAACCATTGTACCATGCAAAACAAATTATAAGATCTTTTATTCACTGAATTAAATGCTTCCTTGAAGGAAAGTGTTGGTGCTACACTAATCATTGGTTTCACGAATACATTTTAGAGCTAATACAAGACAAAAGGAAGTCTCACCTTCCACACACACAAAACTTTCTGTTAACATTCAGTTTCTAACAAAACATTAATTAATGGACTATCAATAAAATACCTTTCTTAGGCCTCAAAATATATTATCAAAAAACAAACATTACAATAACAATAGTGACTAAGATATTTAATATAGTTAACATAAATTGAGCTTCAATGTGATTCCTTGAAATTTAAATATAATTCTAATCATTTAGAATTTTTCCCAAGGCAATATAACTTGTCTACACTAGCATACATAAACAATAACCCATAATTCGCTGCCCTGGAAAGCTCACGTAAGCACATTTAACAGTTTATTACAAACGATAAGCAAGTAATCACCCAATATTTGTAATGCTAAGTTATATCCTTTAAATTACTTAATCATATTCTATTTCTCTTCAGAAAGTTAACTTTTCCATGTGCCCAGACAGTTCAGAATTTTTAAAATGTGGACTTCTGTATGTCCACTGATAGTTCAAAATAGTTTTTGATTTTTGGTATTCAGAATATCCATTGTAACAGCAATGATGATGATCCAAGACTTGTTGATTTTGCTCTCGAAATGCACTCCCCTCAAAGAGACAGCAGCATGTGAGACCCCACCTCTAGGTGATCAAGTATATGATCCCGCCCTTCCTGGGTTGATTACAGCTTCCTTTATACAAATAATTAGATCAGGGACCAACCTTTGCTAGCGACATACTTGCATAACCAGTAGTGGCTCACTAAAGTGGTGATTTTCAACTGGCTGAGAAACTCTGCCAACAATCAAGGGGAGTCATGGAACCAGAGACTGTGGGAACCACCAAAGAGGTTTCCAACGACTGAGGGCGGGGCGTGATATTTCACTCACTCACCCAGTCCTCTTAAGAGTTGTAGGAACTGATAAAGAGGGATAGATCTTCCCTTCAGGAAACGTGTGCTCTTATATCGCCTTGCAAAAAATAGAAAGTTTCAGGTCCTTAGGGTTGTATATAGAAGGTTCAGAAGTGTGGTTTCTTAGAAATAAATCCACGATTCCCAAAGATTATATCTGAGTCTTTTAAATAATAGGGCTCTTCATTATCAAAAGATTGAAAATACCTGCATTTTAAAATTACCCAAATTTCTGAGGTATTGCTAGGCAACAACAACAAAAGGATCTAGATAAGACAATCAACCAAAATCAATGAGAGAAAAATAACAGTGACAAGTGGAGGGGAAAGAAAGACCCTACTGCCTGAGCTAACATATCTGCTCTCCAAAGACTTGTGAAGGAAAAGAAAAGTAGCCAGGGAGCAACTGCTGTGCCATTTCACCGCGTCACCTTAAGTATAAAGTTGCTCTGCTTTGCATGTGAGACCTTCTAAATGGGTTGAAAATCTATCATCAAGATCATCCCCAAAGAGATCAAAATCCCATTTTATTCTTCTGATACATCATTTCCAGAATTCTGATCTATTTTTAATCTCTAAAATTTGAGAGTGGTGGAAAAGCCTTTTTTTTTTTTTTGAGGCTTTTTTAATGTTTATTTATTTTTGAGAGAGAGAGCACATTAGAATTGGGGGGCAGAGAGAGGGGGGACAGAGGATCCAAAGCGGGCTCTGCGCTGACAGCAGCAAGCCTGACATGGGGCTTGAACCCACAAACTGTGAGATGGTGACCTGAGCAGAAGTCAGACACTTAACCGACTGAGCCACCCAGGCACCCCAAAATGAGGCTTTTAAAACATTTTTCGGTCAAATAAATTGTAAAAATTCATTTTTCTACTGGGGAATGGAAGATGCATACCCATAAACTTATACATAAAACGACAGTGAAAGAGACATTCGAATGCTCCTAAATGGTGGCAGAAGAAGCCCAAGCAATCTGGGTGGAACTAGAAGTCACAAGAACATAGAGGCCCTGTCCTTTCAAGTTTCCCAACTCCGAAGGAAAGTTGACCACTGACCTTATGACTAATCAGTTGGGTGTAACTTCATCAGCAAACTGCTCAAGGAAAGAACAGCTGACCAAACATTTAAGTTTCAAATGTCAGGAAAAAGAATTGTTTAACTTAAAATCTTGAAGTTCACTCTTACCTCACAAATATCAGGTCGTATCCTTTGAATAATTTTTATTTTTAAAGTGCTTAAACACAAAGGCCTTAAAAATGGCCTAGTAATACCCTCACTTAAGTATATCTGTTACAAAATTATAACTTATTTAAAATCTAACATTCAAGTTTAAAACAAATGGGTGAAATTCAGAATTAATGCTGAGACTTCACCCTTAATCAGCACTCTTACATCTTGGTGTATCATGAGTCAGTAGTATTGTCTGATCCATAGGATTAAAGTGGGACACCCTAGATTAGAAGTATCTAGCTGAAGTGTCTCTGTTCTCAAAGTTCTTACTTGTTCCCTATTAAACTAGACCAACAAGAAGTAGTAAATACAGTCCTCCGAGAAAAGAATGGCCCCATATTAATTATATACTAATCCAGTTATGTAAAGGTTAATGGCTGAAGCTAGCACAAAATACAGAAATCTCAAAACATATTTAAACAGGAAGAATAGATGATATTACCAAGCCACTTTTAAAATAATACATTAATATTCATTTTTAAAAGTTAAATATACTTATTAAAAACTAACATTACAATTATTTTAGTCATGAATTCCTGAAATCTTTTACTAATACTTATATGAATTTAAAACAGATAAATTAGGAATTCATATATTCAAATTCATGAAACTGGAGATCCAATGATTACTCTTTTCTTCGTGAAGAATGTCTAACTAGGATGTGTTCCTCAAAGAAAGGAATCTGATTAGCAACATTTCTTCCTTTTCTTGACATCCTGACTCAAAGGTGAAAATTACACAAAATGAGACTTGGGCTGATCCTGAGTTGAGATTTCTCTAACAAGTTTACTTTACCATCAGGTTCATGAAATACTGTTCTAAATACTTACATTTACCCAACAGATAATGTACAATTGCTCGGGGCAAAGCTACAAGGTAAAGTGAGACCTTTTCTCTATACCTTTTAAACTAACTCCATTCCCATTCCGGGCTTCTTAAACTACTAGTAGATTTTATTTTTAACTCTAAAACTTATCTTTAGATCAGAGTACAAAACTCTTAATTCAATAAACTTTTTTCTAGGCATTTTCCATACTGACTTTTTATATGCCAAACACATGGTGATTTGTATTTTTCCCTGAACGCAATTCATAGAAATTCCCTGAATAACAAAAAGAAAACAATTCTGTTATATTCACTTGACAGCTAAAGAGAATTCCAAAATGAAAATGACCATTGTGCTGCTGTGAGGGTATAAATATAGGTCACCATTCCATCCGCGTCACTGGAATGTATATGGAAGACATCTGTACAGCAGGTAACGAAGTCAGCAGCCAAAGTTGAACACAGCAAGTAAATGTGTACTGGAATAGGAATAGTTACGGACTTCTAAAGGCTCAGGAGTTAGCTGCTCCCGAGAATTCAGTAAGTACAATACATAACAACTCACAATTTACAAGTAAGTTATAAAAACTCCAGAATATTAAGCCAGTCTGCTAAAGAACTATGAATCTTCCAATTGTAAACTAATAAATTCCTGAATGCATTTCTTATACTGCATTTCAGTATGGTTATTAGTAGAATATTGACCTGGCTGTCCATAAAGTCCTTCTGATTCCCGCATCTCTTCATTCATTCTTGCTAAACGTAACCTAAAATCAAAGGAAAGGATTTTTAGATGAAGTATGTAATGAAACCACAAACCAATGAAATGTATAAGCAGATAAAACACACTTTTTTCTCTCTTTTTTCTCTTCCTAGTGTTTACCACTATAATAGATGGGGTTTTAGTTTTAGTTTCCCTTTATACAATTCTCATGAGAGAATATAATAAAGATTTCTTTTTTTAACTATTTTTAAGTAATCTCTACACCAAAACGGGCTCAGATGTACAACCCCAGGATCAAGAATCGCATGCTTGCCCACCAACTGAGCCAGCTGGGTTGGCCAGCTGGGTGCCCTGACAATAAAAGATTTCTAACAAATACATTTCATCACTGTTTAAGCAGGACCTTTGGAGCACCTCCAGGAGCTTACTTCCTGACTTCAGAGACTCCCCGGCTTCTCCAGCAACTGTTCAAAGTATTGCTTCTACAGTATGGAATGTCCTACTGTATGGTTTAAGTTTATTCAGCTTCACCCTGAGGTGAGGTAGTTCCAAAAATGTAAATGGCATGTGTTATGTCTAAATAGTGGAAACGTATTTTGATGTATTAAATGACCATAGGTTGCTAAGATTTTACCAAGGTTACCATTCGGTTAGACACTCTTTTGTGGGGTATTCATCCTGGCAGCAGGAAGATATACAGCACTGGATTAAGAAGACAAGAATTTCCTTCCATTTTTGTACTAACCTTAAACAATTCTGAAACAGGCAAATGTCACCTTCAGTGCCCCTTCCTACTTTTCACTATTTGTCTGTCCTTCGGGCCACCCACCTTCAGGCAGTGGGTGCACTGCCCACCGAGACTTATATCACCCTCTTCTAACGTGCACTTCTGGCAACTGCAGCATCTGACACGAGCTTTCCCTCTCTCCAAAATACTACCACTCCCTTCCATCTCTTTTCATAACCACTGTGTGAATTAATAGCGCCTTAGATCTCTCTTTGGTACTTGGACTTTTCAGAGAGGACCATTACTTTAAAAAATTATTAAATGAAACTGAAGTCTTCACACAAAGTAAAATGAGAAAATTTAGACAATTTGGGAACAGATATTTCTGAGGTAAAGGGGCCATTATTATAAGAACTGCCTGGGAAGCTGCATCCAGGGTTCCTTTCTCTATGCTATTCCTATCTTTTCTTTAATAACTTCTCTTTCTCCAATTGTGAATCTATAATAATTTAATAGTTCTAAATTTTCCTCCAATAGTCTCCACAATTATAATAACCTCTCCAGTGGGGAAAGGACACTGAGTGCAGAGAAAGCATGTTTTACTGTTTTGCCTTGTGTTTTAATTTGGCAGGGATCAGGGAGGAGTGATATATGACAAGTCAAGAATTCTCAGTGGCAGCTCAGGAGTTCAAGGCAGTTGGGAAAGTTTCCCTTTGTAGGTGACTGAGACTCAGTAGTGTGAATGAAACTATCAATACTCATATAACAGGGGATCAGTAATTCTGGGTTTCAGGCAACACAGAACAGAACGAGTAAGTGACTTCATACAACATATTTCCTACATCACAATAAAGTGTAAGTGGCAATCACTTTTTTAGATTCCAGTGTAAACAAACAACTTTGATCTAAGATGAAAATCAAATTAAGATCTCAAAAGTCTTTCTTTAACAGATCATATTCAATTGTATTCAAACATTAAAAAACAGGTATTTTTATCTTAAGATAGAGTATTCATGTAAACAACTCCTTAAAAAAAATAAGCACAAACGGATCCCTAAGCATCACTGCCCAAAGGCAATGCAACTGCAGAAGTTGCTAACATCAGTGCAGCTGTCCTCCCTACTTATAATCCTCTAACTCTTAAGGTAGAATAAATGCAGATTTTTGAACAGAATAATTGCCTGTTACTGTACCAATCCACCCCCTGCCCTAGTACTGTAGTGAAAATTAAAGAATCCATTTTAGAGAAGACATGGGTTTTCTGTTCCTACTGGTCATGCAGGATTTAAAAAGTGGCTAAGGACATGGGTTTTAGAGCCAAAATTCTTAGTTTCAAATCCCAGCTCCATGAGCTACCAGTTTCTCAAATTATCTGCGGCGTGGTATCGTTATAAAATAAAGCTAATAATATGTTCCTCATAGGGTTGCTGTGAGAGCCAAATAAGTTCCTATATGTAATACATTAAATGTGCTTAAAAAGGTACATGGTACACATTAAACAATCAAGTTTATAGTTCATACCCATGCATGAAACTATGTTCGAACCTAAGTACTACACTGAAACTAAGTACTACAACTGTCTGAAAAATAATCAAGGAAAAAGAAGACACTTACAAGGTCACTATATCAGCATTGGCTGCTTCCACAGCTATAGTCAAAGGGTCTTTCCCTTCTTCATCAGTGGCATGTTGATTGGCACCTCGTTTTAGGAATAAACATACCTGCCTGTTTAAGGAAACAGTATTTTTAATATATGGCCAATAAGAAAAAAATATTAGTATTCACCATAAAAAAATTAAAAGCACCATCTCACTTAAAGAAATAGCATTTCATTAGGAAATTCTTGACTCATTCTATAACTATTTATTGAACAATAAAAATTTACCATGATCACCATTTTACAAATCTCAAGGTGTTTTCCCCTTTTAACTTGGTGCTACGTAGGATGGTGAGATGTATAAATTATGATCTCTATCCTCAAACAATATCAGAAAAAGATGTACATATATTTCCATGAACTTAAACAAAACAGCATCACTTAAGGTCATTATTTGGGAAAGAAGGAAGCCAAGGCAACGTTAACATTATACTAACAATAATTCAACAGCAAAGAAGGTAATCCTCCACAAATATTGATAACTTGAAGAAATTGACAAAAATGAAAAAATATGACAGAATGAGTAAATGGAGTCTATGAAGTAAAATGGGAAGAATGATTGTTTAAGAAGAAAATACACAGATGAATCAAATACAATCACTTTTAAGTATCCAAAAGTTTGTATGATGAAGTCATTGAACTCAGCATCTCTTTGCTGACAGAAGGAAAGCAAACTATGATAAGAATAGAAAATGCTTTAAAAAATACAAGATGCTTCAAATAAACATAAAAAAAAAAAATACCCAGCTTCTTGTTTATTGGGGTAATAAGAATTGGATATCCTGAGATATTTTATTTAAAAACAATCATCTATGACACAAATTTTTCATTTAAGGTCAACATTTTGACTTCATTTGTACCTTCTATTAGAAAGTCCATTTTCAAAAAACAACAACAACAACAAAAGTAATTTTCAAGGCTTTATTGTTCTGTGAGTCTAAATACTGCTTCAGAAGCCTCCATGTCAATAGCACAAGCTAAAAGTTAAAGTCTGACTTTAGGTACCCTGTGAGAAAACTAAAATGTCCAAAGTTATAAAATTCTCCCCAACTGCACATGCTATGTATATAAATATGTGAACATGCATAAATACATACATAGACTTAGTTGTCTGAAAAAAATCACCATAATTTCAGTAACAGTTTTAAATACTAAAACTGATCTACATAAATGGCAAGTAAAGTTCAAAATAAGCTGTGCAATGTTCTCTTCTGAAAAGTAACAGTAGCTTTTTTCTGCAGGAGATTTTTAAAATCTGAAATTCCATCATGACAATATAAGTCACAGGAAGGTATCATTTTACAAACTCTACTTAATGACCTTAGCCTAAGAAAAAGCAAAATGATATTTCAAAATAATTTTTCAAATAAAATCTAGTTAAATATGCAAGCTCAACAGCTTACCCTGTGTGCCCCAAGACAGTGGCATGGTGCAGTGGGCCCCGCCCTTGCACATCTCTTTGGTTCACATTAGCACCATTCTGTAGAAGAAACTCGCATGTCACCAAAGAACCCTTAGGAGAAAAAAAGAAGATAACAATGTACAAAAAGCAAACAATAATATATTTCTATTAAAAACAGGTCTTTACTCTAATAGCCTTTATGTTTTATTTTCTCCCAAAAGAGAAAATACTCCCCAGTGAAAGAGAAATGATAAATTATTTTCTTCCAAAGAATGACTTCTTTTTTAACATTTATTTATTATTGAGAGACAGAGAGACACAGAGCGTGAGCAGTTGGGGGGTAGAGAGAGGGGGAGACACAGAATCTGAAGTAGGCTCCAGGCTCTGAGCTGTCAGCACAGAGCCTGACACGGGGCTCGAACTCACAAACTGTGAGATCATGACCTGAGCGGAAGTCGGTCGGTTAACCACCCAGGCGCCCCGCCAAGAATGACTTCTAACAGGGATTCAATTTGCAGTGTGATCTAGCAAAAGACACTACTTTCATTACCAAAATTCTCTTCCACTGAGAAAAAAACCTGACCTTACGTAATCACAGTGATACTCAGAAATCACTACTAGCATTTTCTTCTACTTTCCAACCCATCTCTTAAAGCAAAAAATAATACTAAAGCTATGTTCAGAATGAATTATGATTTTTTTACAATGTATGAATTCATACCCCTAAAACAGCCTGAATAAGTGGTGTTGCTTTATTTTCCTCTGAATTAGCCCAGTTCACATCTGCACCATGAGCCAAAGCCTCAGCCATTTTAGGAAGATTTTTTTCATATGAAGCCCTATAAAGCTGGAGTCCCGGATTAAGATGTTTAGAGTCGAGAAACACAGAAGAATCTTGCCTTTCTCCTTCTGTAAAGCAAACAAATACATCAGTAAAAATGGGCAGGAAGGGAGAGAATGGGAAGTTATTGTTTCAGAGGTACAGGGTTTCAGTTTTGTGAGATGAAGACAGTTCTGTGGCTGCATTGTGGTAACGGCAGCACAAGGGTTAAGAAATTCAATGCCATGCAGCTGTCCGTTTAAAAATGGTGAAGATGTAAATTTCATGTTACGTATGTCTTACCACATACATAGCAAAATGTTTTTAAATTTTTTATTTTTAATTTTATTTTTTTTAGTTTACATCCAAATTAGTTAGCATATAGTGCAACAATGATTTCAGGACTAGATTTCTTAATCCCCCTTACCCATTTAGCCCATCCCTCCTCCCACAACCCCTCCAGTAACCCTCTGGTTGTTCTCCATATTTAAGAGTCTCTTATGTTTTGTCCCCCTCCCTGTTTTTATATTATTTTTATTTCCCTTCCCTTATGTTCATCTGTTTTGTCTCTTAAAGTCCTCATATGAGTGGAGTCATATGATATTTGTCTTTCTCTATTTACCACATTTTTTAAAATGAGCCCTTACTACAATGTAGCACAATGTAAAAGATGTAAAAGTAACCACTAATTTAACAAAAGAGCTAATGGGAGGTTTTCACAAAAATATATTATTCCCTGATGACTCCCCAAACAGTCAAACTTCTCTTATAAAGACATCCATTGGTATACTAGGCCTTTGTGGTCCTGCCGATATGCAATGGGAGGTTAATTACACTGTACTAGATTAAAATTAGGTATATTCTTATATGCCTGGATTTAAAAAGGATGGTAAGAATCCATGAAGAATTTTACTACTAGACCAAACCTCACTTTATGCCTAGGATGGTCCAATATCATCATAAGTTATAGTACAAGCAATTCAAGTAATTCAGAAAATGCTCACTACCCTGAATATTCTGTAAGACCAAAATCATGGGAATCATGAAGGAGAAAATATAGGAAGAAAGCACAGATCCAAAGAAAAATATAATGGGGAGAGAGTTGTTAATCTCTTTCTCCTGATAAGATAGCCACATTAGATAAATAAATATAAATATATAAATATAAATATAAAATAAATAAAACATACAGTTCATGTGGACTAAAAAGTATACTTAGCAACTGAGTAGGCACTTTTAGCCCGTATCATGAGGCTTAGAAGAATGTACAGCTAGGAGAGAACTTCCAAATCCACTTTCTCATTTAACAATACCTTCTAAAAGGCTAACCACTTCCTTTAAAAACTATTTAATCAAGATTAAGCACTAACCACATGCATTTTTCAGCAAACAATACTAATTAACACTGAATTTCACCAAAACTCACCAGTCTCATATAAACTATTGGCAGACACTGTCGAGGGTAAAGATTCTCTTCCATCATCAGAAATCTGCTGGATTCCACTATCATTACTTTTAACTGTTTTAAAGAAAAATCAGCTAGTGATTAAAGTTCACACCATTAGAAAACAATCTACTCCAAACAACAAGGTTTTAAAATGAGTTCTGATAATACATCAACATGAACTCAGCCACCATCAGAATACATTTAACACAATTTTAATCCTTTTGAACACTTAGCTTATCAAAATATGAATCAATCACAAAGCCTGAAAATAAACTTATCTTCAGAGTCGCAACACATCTCATTACCCCATATGTCAGGGGTGGTGAAGAGCTTAATTCATTATGACTGTAAGTAATGTGTAATTCTGAGACAATGGGTAACATCTAGAGAAATGGCCACACCGCACAATGACCACTGGCACAGACTTGGAATGCTCCACAAGAGTAGTACTTACTACTACGTAGTTTTGAAGAAGTATCAAAGTAGGAGAAGAGTGAATCTAGCTCATCAGGACAGAACAGAGACTCCCGCCTGGCCTCGTCGCTATTTACAGCAACCACTGAGGACATGCAAGTTAGCAAAGCACAAAGCAGGCCATAAGAAGGGAAAAGGGCAGGAAAAAAACGTTACTGGGAAAAATTTAGGAGGAAAAAAATAGGAAGGATATTAGGTAGTTAATCAGATATTTAGGGCTTGTTGCCATGATAGATTTATAATTCCCATCTCCCCTTGCACTCTAAACAGTTTTATTCCCTAGAATATACACATTACCTAGAAATGTGAGTTACCAAGATGCTATTTAAATTTAACCATTTTAAAGACATAGAAATCCAATTTTTCCTTACAATATGCAGAAGGAAACAGGTCTTTTAGCATTTAAATAATCTACAGTGGCTACTAATTCAGAGATGAAGAAAGCGACTTCAGTTTAACAAGTAAGCTGTAATACCTGAACTTGGGGGAGGTACTCTGACTTGGTCACCTGGCCCAAGTTTAGAAATGCTCAGCCTCTTTTCTTCGCAACTTTTGGAGACAATCCTTTTTTCCTGCTCAGGAGGTGATGATGATATAGAATATTTATCCACAAATTTCCTCTCCACATATTTTGCTTTGATATATGTCTCTTTCTCCTGTCTGGTATACATAAAAATGTCATGATGTTCTGCTTAATCTCTTAGTATGGCTGAAAAGAAGCCATTATATATTGAATATCTCAAAAAAAGTCACTAAATGTATTACAAGTTAAAACTAAATTTGTGACATTATGCAACATATTTCCCTTCCAAATATTTAATAACTTACGATCTCATGTTCAAATGAAATACAAACAATAGACTAAACGAAAAATCACAAGTATAAACATGGCACTCTCTATTCTCTTAATTTCTGTGCTCCTTCATTTCTATACATGTTCCCTTGTGCTTTTTACAAAATGAAAACCATTACCAAGAAAACTATAAAAATTTATGGAAATTAATTTCATTTTACTGCAATAGATAATGTCACATACTGAACTATCACTATTGATGGCCATAATTTTTCCTAAGACAACTACTTTAAAACAACAGCATTCCTAACTAAGGAGGAAGCAAATATGTCACATTTTAAACTTTATGATACAATCATAAAATACCAAGTCTGTTTTATACCTTTTCTTACTTATATCCTTTTGAAATGGTTAAGTCTTTGGCTGAAATAGAAGGATATTTCAAGGTCTGAAATAACTCAGCCATGCTTTACCAAATAATCTCATTTAAATGATATTAGTGCAGACAACAATAACTTTAAAATAGTATTGATTATACATACAGATTTAGTCAAACATAAAATCCCAACATAGGATTATGGCAAATAAAATTTTAGTGCTAAAAATAAAGAACCATGAAAACTAAAAGCAACATCAACAATAAAAATTAATTATGTACCTTGAAGGCACTCTTAGCCACTTCATTCAAAGAGCTTCCACATATAGAATTGGAAGTATAATTCAAACATAGCAACTAAGTACTCTCCCCTACCAGAAGCTACCCTTTCACCTTTAATTCTTTAACATCATAATGCCATTTATTAAGTATGTGTTTCACAGATATTTACTGTACTAAGTTAAACAATGTAAAATTATTCACTGTTGGTAATAGAAACTTGATCCTTAGAGACATTAATGAACAGATTATCTCTTTTTAAACCCCTGCCAATAACAGAATTGGTCTACTTTAACTGCTAAGAGCTTTTATAGTCTATGCAGAGACTTAATTTTTGAGATTGTCATCTGGAGACTATAGTTTATTATCTAATCAATAACAAATAATTATCTAACACATACCCAAGAAAGAGATAGCCATCTTTTTAAAAAAATTTTTTTTAATTCTTTACTTTATGTTGAGAGAAACAGGCAGACAAACAGACAGCAGGGGAGGGGCAGAAAGAGAGAATCCCAAGCAGGCTCCATGCTGTCAGTGCAGAGCCCAACATGGGGCTTAAACTCACAAAGCATGAGATCAGGACCTGAGCCGAAACCAAGAGTCGGACACTTACCCAACTGAGCCACCCAGGTGCCCCAAGATTGCCGTATTTTAACAGAAGCAGTAATGTTCTCTTCTAAACAGTCTGTCTCAATATTACGTATCAGTTATAGTGAAATAAAATCATAGCTATACTCCTGCTTACGAAAAATAAAAGGGTAACACATGGAGACAATTGAAATTAGTACCTTTGTCCTGGTTGTGGTTTCTTTATTCCCATTTTTTCCACTTTAGCTTCATAAACTCGGTTTATAACATCATTTCCCAATTCACACATAAGCTGTTTGGCAGGAAAATAGGAAAATAAGGTACAAATTCCTAAAAATACTGTAACAGTCCTTAAAGCAAATACAGCTAACTCATTCCTTTTGCTGTTCTGCAAATGCTGATCCCACAAAGTTTGAAGTTAAAACAAAATGAGACAAGGAACTAAGAGCAATATCATCATTTTGCTATTACCAGAATACCTCCCCCTAGAAGACTGCCACTAATACAGGAAAAGGTCTCTCCTCACTCATCGTCCCTCAACTATGGCTAGCACAATGCTGCAGATTATTCACAATGCTTGGTAAATTAAATGAAAAAAGAAGATTGAGGCCAAACAGGTTAAGTTTTAAACACCTCAAAATGGAAGTACACTATTTTCTCTTTATATTTTATATATAAGAATTGCAAAATGGGGCACCAAGGTGGCTCAGTCGGTTAAGCATCTGCCACTTGATCTCAGCTCAGGTCATGATCTCAGGATTCGTGAGATCAAGCCCCACCTCGTCTGGCTCTGTGCTGATAGCGCAGAGCCTGCTTGGGATTCTCTCTCTCCTCCCACCCCCCCACCTCAAAATAAATAAATGGAGTTAAAAAAAAAAAAAAAAAAGAATTGCAAAATATTTTGTTTACAATTTTCAATTATTTTTTAAAAATTTTTAATGTTTTTTTTAAATTTATTTTTGAGACACAGAGAGGCAGAGCACGAGGGGGGGAGGAGCAGAGAGAGAGGGAGACACAGAATCCTAAGCAGGCTCCAGGCTCTGAGCTGTCAGCACAGAGCCCGACGTGGAGCTCAAACTCACGCACTATGAGATCATGACCTGAGCCAAAGTCGGACACCCAACTGCCTAAGCCACTCAGGTGCCCCTCAATTATTTTTTTAATGTACCAGACAGCTAGCTATGTTTCAGCCAAATTTTAAAAATTGAACTTATTAATAAGTTCACATCTACAAAACTGATGCAGAAATTAGATTTCTACCTCTCATTCCCCCACTTTCTTCTCCTTTGAATTCATAACAATTAATACAATCTATCTAAATTAGGGCTCTACCTTAGCAACTAATTTATCACTTTCATCCAGATGTTTACACAATAATTCCACAAAGCAGATTTTTTTTGTACTTTACATAATTGAGAGGATCACCAGTTTATCTATGGATTAAAATAAAAATACAAGTACATTGAGAACACAATTTTCGGGGCGCCTGGGAGGCTGTCAGTTAAGTGTCCAACTTCAGCTAAGGTCATGATTTCATGGTTTGTGAGTTCCAGGCCCGAATCGGGCTCTGTGCTGACAGCTCAGAGCCTGGAGCCTGCTTCAGATTCTGTGTCTCCCTCTCTCTCTGCCCCTCCCCCGCTCCCACTGTGTCTGTCTCTCTCAAAAATAAAACAAACATTAAAAAAAAGAACACAATTTTCAGACAGAAGTAAATGCAGAATATACCATAATCTCTAAATGAATATATATTTTTCTACAATATGGTAAACCAAATGATGGGAATTAAAAGGAATATATCATTAACCAATATATGAGTTTTATAAATCTTACCAGAAACCCAGTTGTGATTTAAATTACTTATGGCATTTCCATAGATATGAGTCCTTACACAAGGATAAAGGATGTCTTAGTTGGACCACTTATCTTGAGAAATGTAAATTTGTAAAAGGTCCTATGCTAAAATGGCTCAATGATAACAACATGCTATACCAATCCATTAGGGAGTGCACTAGTACATCTTATACTTTTAACAAAAATTGATATAATTATAAAGGATTAAAATTAAGGCACATAATTGAAGATCATTCTTTGAGAAAACATAAAAACGTAGGAATGTGTTTTCCTTAAAAGATGAAGTGATTTGCAGTTAAGAGCATTACATAAACTTAGCGATTCTTAAAAAAAACCCAAAAGAAAACACCAGATTTGCTAAAATAGCCTCAGATGCGTTCCAATACAATTTATTGTTAGCATGGAGAAACTCATACATTTTATTTATTTATTTGTTTTTAAAACAAATATTTACTTATTTTGAGAGTGTGCACACATACGCCTGCCAGCCAGGAAGGGGCAGAGACAGGGAGAGAAAATCTCAAACAGGTTCTGCTCAGTTAGCACAGAGCCCAAAGTGGGGCTCAAGAACTCACAAACTATGAGATCGTGACCCAAGCCAAAATCAAGGGTCAGACGCTTAACTGATTGAAGCACCCAGGCACCCCTATTTCTTTCTTTTTTGAGTAGGCTCCATATCCAGTGGAGCCCAACACAGAATTGAACTCATGACCTGAGCTGAGATCAAGAGAGGGATGCTTAACCAACTAAGCCACCTAAGCCACCCCTAGAAACTCATACATTTCGTAAATCAAGATTCTAAAATCCTGTCATTTTATGTGAAAATCTGAAATATTTTTAAGCAAGTATTTTATTTTACCTTCAAAAGTTCAGGCTCCCAGGTATCTAAAGTTAAAGATCGTACTTTTGAAAAATGAACTCCAAGACTCCTAAGTAGGGGGAAAAAAAGACTATATTAATATACAAAACCATCAAGTCTCTATTTGCATAATATGCAAATTACTTTTCTCTTTTAATGGGATATAGTCGCTAACACAGCCCTCAACATGTATGTAAATAAGGAGAGTCCTTAAATGGTAAATGGTAAAACAAAATCCTCTAAAGCACTCCGCAAACCAGAATTTTATCCACTCTACAAAAGGTACAAATATACAAATGGCAGTCAAATTAAGGCAAGTGGAAAAGGCCCCCTAACCAATGGGACACAATAATTTACTATGTGTTTATCCAAAAGAAGTCTCTCACCCTGTGTAGGCCTACCCACCGGTGAATCCCAGAACACTCGATACACAGGGTGATGCCCAGGTTGATGCTGGCCCACCGTGGGTCCGCCAGACCACAGTCACAACAGCTGGCATTGCCAGGGATACACTGGACTCGCTGCAGTGCACTTTCTCCTTTCAACGATTTATCTTTTGACTCATTTCCAGAATCCAGGCTTCCTGTGGATGGAGATGATTTCTTATCCAGCTTCTAAAAGAATTAAGAATTATTTGTTTAAAAAAAAAAAGATTAATACTATGCTGCACATTACATGCTCCAAACAAAACCTTCCAATCAATAAATTGAGGGCTTATTATGAGCCTAAGCCAGGCACTATTCTAGGCATTACAGATTTAATGATAAAAAGATACAGCTAGCTCCATCAATTGGCATTTAGTCTTGTCAGAAGAAACACAAACATTAGAAATAATATATATGTTTATATAAATAAATATTTACATTTATTTTCTATTTAATATACATATATATGTATTATATATAAAATAAGTGACAAATGAACATGTGTATAAGATATGAGGGCAAAGAGAAAGGGAAACACTTATTTAACATGCAGGACCAGAGACGGATGGAATAAACACAAAACTATTAATACTCAAGAATAGAATTAATATTATTTTATACCAGAATTTTCCAAGGTATTCAATGAACTGCAAGCAAGTTGTTTCAATTACTGCAGTGAATAACTGGAAATCATATGTCGTTTTACTAAAGAACAAATCAATTAAATAATTATTTTTTTAATGTTTATTTTTGAGAGAGAGTGAGTGGGGGAGGGGCAGAAAGAGGGAGACAGATGATCTGAAGCAGGCTCTGTGCGGATAGCAGACAGCCCAATGCTGGGTTCACACTCAAGAACCACAAGATCATGACTTGAGCTGAAGTCAGACGCTTAACTGACTGAGCCACCCAGGTGCTCCCAAATCAATTACATAATTATAATTATATTCCCAGCAAGGGAAGTGAGAGCCTGAGGAGGGAGAAGAAGGCACTGGTGTGAGGGTCCAGAGCCTGAGTAGGGGCAGGTGGCAGCAAAGAAAGGATGTTGGTTACATACAGGGGGACTGATCATATAAGTAAACATGTTAAAAATAAAAGTGAGCCATATTTTTCTCACTGCAGAATAAGGGTTATTTATATGGAAAGGGAGAGAATTAGAACAAAGCCTGTTGTGTGTGATTAGAACTGGAGAAAACAAGAGGTATACTAATGGTTTTCAGTATAAACAGATATATAAAGAAATACAGATGTAAACGTGTATATGTGTACATACATACATATATTCTTTTATCTTGGTTTCTAAAAGCCATTCACCACCAAAAGGAACTAGGACTCTTTGGAGAATTAGCACTGGTGCAGAGAAAGTGCAAGATGAACCTGGAACGTCTCATCATGCTAGAAAGTAAGGAGGAACTCAGACTGAACTAAGACATGATAAGAACATACCAAAAGGATATAGAAGCCAGCGTTCCACTGGCCCAGTTTGGGCCAATTCAAACAATAAAACAAATAATGATAGTAATGGATTATAATACGTTGAAAAAACTATACTGACATAATTAAATTAAAAAAAATTAAAGCTTAAAAAAAAAGCTTAAAAATATAAATAAAAAATAAATAAATAAATAAATAAATAAATAAAGTTTAATGAGGAAAAAATATTCACATAGTCTCAAAGAAGCTCCCCTTACAAATACTTCTTACCTACCAAGCGAATGTTACAGTACAGAAGCCTAGCAGACACCACCTTAATCAAGTGATCAAAGTTAACATCACCAATAATGGGACAAAGTTATGTGTCACCTGAGAATGCAGTGAGAAGAACACAGCATCATTTATATAATACACCTCCAAAGATGCATAATCTTGCGAGCAAGCATCGGATAAACTCACATTAAAGGACATTCTACAAAATAACTAGCTTGTTACCTTCAAAACTACCAAGGTCAAGAAGGTCAAAGTAAGATTGAGGGACTATTCCTGAAGGAAGGAAACTAAAGAGCTCTGACAACTAATATTACCTGTGCTTCTGGACTGAATCTTTCTGCTGTAAAAAAAACATTACTGGGACAATTGTTAAAGACGTCTGGAATTAAATGGTAGCCATATTTCAATGTTCATTTCCTGATTATGATGGCAGTACCATGGTTTTTATAGGACAATGTCCTAGGGTGTGGGAAATAGCACTAAAGTAATAATGGGTGATGGGGCACCAAGTTAGAAACTCACTCTGAAATAGTTTGGGGGTAAAGTTATTGTACAACATTTGGAACTTCTCTGTAAGTTTGAAATTATTTCAAAAATTTTTTTAAATCTGCATTATTAGAACATGTTCAAGAATGTGAATTATCTCATAAGCAATTATCACATAGGAAAAAGATGTCAATACAATACAGAAACCTTTTTGGCTCATTCCCAATTTTCCTCTATAAGTTAATTTTTTGCACCAAATTAGAGAAGCTGAGAGCAAAGTACACTGCACAGCAGAACCTGGGGCAGCTACCTCCAGGAACACAAGAATAAACATGACACCCATCCCCCTATTCTCCTTCTTGGATCATTTTGTCCATGTGCTTGGACTCAAAGTGTGTATTATACTCATTCTCTCTGATCTTTATGTGTTTTGCCTTTGTCACCAAAACTCAGTAGTCTCAACCTTCTGTACCCTTCCATTAAGTTATCTTCATCAATTTTTTTAAGTTTATTTATTTTGAGAGAGAGAGAGAGAGCACATGCATGAGCAAGGGAAGGGCAGAGAGAGAGAGGGAGAGAGAGAATCCCAAGCAGGCTCCGCACTGTCAGCACAGAGCCTGATGCGGAGCTCAGTCCAACATACCGTGACATCATGACCTGAGCCAAAATCAAAACTCGGACGTCTAACCAACTGACCCACCCAGGTGCCCCTATCTTCATTAATTTTTAAAGTTAACTCCTATCTATACTGTAGTATTAATTTATTATGAATTTAATTGTTCTAATATTTTTTACTGAGATTCTAAAGTTCCTGAAAGTATTCTAGTTATGAATTTACACAGATTTTTAGGGCAGCCCTAGCCCTATTTTTCCTGTAATCCTTAGAATTTATAGTGTATGATTTTTCATAACACAGGTATTTCAGCAATGCCACTAGCTTCTTCATCAGGATGATATGGATATACATGTAATTTTGTCCCCTCTCAAAACTTCGCTAAAAGCCAGAAAGGATAATAAAAGGCATTATCCTCAGCCCTTATTGGACAAAGTTGTGGTAATCCGAACATTAAGAAGAGTAAATACTGATATTGGCCATCTGTATGTCTTCTTTGGAAAAAAAGTCTATTCAAGTCCTCGGCCCATTTTTAATCGTATTATTTGTGGGGTTTTGTTTTTGTTTTTGTTTTTTTTGGGGGGGGATTGGTGTCAAATTGTATAAATTCTTTATATTTTTTAGACATTAATCCCTGATTGGATATATCATTTACAAATATCTTTTCCCATTCAGTAGGTTGCCTTTTTATTTTGCTGATGGTTTCATTCAATTGTGATGGTTTCCTTCAATTTTGATGTAGTTTCAGTTAGCTTCTGCTTTTCTTTTCCTTGCCTTAGGATATATGTCCTATCTAGAAAAATGTTGCCATGGCCAATGTCAAAGAAATTTCTGTTTATGTTCTCTTTTAGGAGTTTTATTATTTCAGGTCTCACATTTAGGTCTTTAACCCATTTTGAGTTTATTTTTGTGTATGGTGTAAGAAAATGGTCCAGTTTCATTCTTTTTTGCATGTAGCTGTCCAGTTTTACCAGCACAATTTATTGGAGACTGTATTTTCCTCATTGTATATTTTCTTGTCTCCTTTGTCATAGATTAATTGACCATAGAAGCATAAGTTTATCTCTGGGCTCTGTATTCTGTTCCACTGATGCATTGTCTATTTTTCTGCCAGTACCATACTGTTTTGATTACTACAGCTTTGTAGTATATCTTGAAATCTGGAATTGATAACCTCTACCTTTGTTGTTCTTTCACAAGATTGCTTTGGTTATTCAGGATCTCTTACGATTCAACACAAATTTTAGTATTATTTGTTATAGTTCCATGAAAACTGCTGTTGGTATTTTGACTGTTGGGACTGTACTGAATCTGTAGCTTGCCTTGGGTAGTATGAACATTTTGACAATATTAATTCTTCCAATCCATGAGCATGGAATTGGAAGAATTAATATTGTCAAAATGTTCCATTTGTCTTCTCTTCTAGTTCTTTTATCAGTGTTTTATAGTTTTCAGAATACAGGTCTTTCACCTTCTTGGTTAAATTTATTCCTGAGTGTGGTGCCTGGGTGGGTCAGCTGAGTGTCCAACTCTCAGTTTTGGCTTTGGTTACAATCTCATGGTTCATAAGTTTGAGCCCTGCTTCAAGCTATGCTCTGACAGCGTGGAGCCTGCTTGGGATTATCCCTCTCTCCATCTCTCCCTCTCTCTCTCTCAAAATAAATGAATTAACATTTTTTTTTAAAGTTTATTCCTGGATATTTTATTCTTTTTCATACATTTGTAAATGAAATTGTTTCCTTAATTTCTCTTTCTGCCATTTCATTATTAGTATATTGAAACACAACAAATTTCTGCACATTAACTTTGTATCTAAAACTTTACTGAATTCATTACTTCTAATAATTTTTTGGTGAAATCTTTAGGGTTTTCTAAGTATAATACCATGTCATCTGCAAATAGTGACAGTTTAACTTCTTCCTTACCAATATGGATGCCTCATCAGGGAAATGCAAATCAAAACCACAATGAGGTTATCACCTTACACCTGTCAGAGTAGCTAAAATCAAAGAGACAAGAAATAGTAAGTGTTGGTAAGGATACGGAGAAAAAAGAATCCTTGTGCATGGTTGGTAGGAATGTAAACGGTACAGCCACTGTAGAAAACAGTATGGAAGTTCCTCAAAAAATTAAGAATGAATACTATATGATCTAATAATCCCACTACTGGGTATTTACCCCAAAGAAAATGAAAGCACTAATTCTAAGAGATATATGCAGCTCTACATTTACCACAGCATTATTTACAACAGCCAAGATATGGAAGCAACACATCTATCTACTGATAGATGAATGGATAAAAATATGTATACGTGTGTACACACACACACACACACACACACACACACACACACACAGGAATATTATGCAGCCATAAAAAGGGATGGGATCCTGCCATTTGTAACTACATGGATGGACCTAGAGGGTATTATGCTAGGTGAAATAGGTCAGACAGAGAAAAATACATATGATTTCATATATATGTAGAATCTAAAAAACAAAACAAATGGATAAACAAGTAAAGAAACAGACCTATAAATAGACAACAAACTGATGGTTGCCAGAAGGATGGTGGGTGAGGAATGGGCAAAATAGTAAGGGGAGTGGGAGATAAAGGCTTCCAGTTATGGAAAGAGTAAGTCACAGGGATGCAGGGTACAGCACAGGTAATACAGTCAATGGTGTGGGAATAACGCCGTACAGTGAAGATGGTTAATGGATAATGGATAGAGGTACCGATTACTGTGTTCTATACCTGAAGCTAATATAACATTGTGTGTCAACTATACCCAAATAACTTTGTAAAAAAAGAGTAATTACTGTAATTGGGACCGATTGTACCTACAAATTTCCATGAGTTCATGATACCCAAGAAATTAGTTATCTGTCCCCACCTAAGATAGCTAATAAACTAACCAAATGTGGTAATTAAAAGAAAAAAATCAAGCATTTTATTACAGTAACTAAATAACTCCAGCTGATAAATAAAAGCTGTATGTAACATAAGAATTCAAGTTAACCAATATAGATGGGATGACAGAATTAGAAAATTATAATTTTGCAATTCCTAATGAAATCACAAATTCATCTGTAAAACCATTATATGAGTGGTTGATGGGGGACTAGATCTTATGAGGCCAACGTAACACAAAATAGATTTACTACACAAAGTAACAAAGACTAGGGAAAAGGGAATGTAACTTTACAGTGGAGGAGTCATATTGTCATCTCTCTAATCCAATGTGTCCACTTCATTTTCACACAGAAGACTGATCTTAGCATTAGTAATGGTTGGATAACCAAGTATTGTGTCTTTCCTTTTACAACGTGAAGTATACACATCACCTATTATGTAACTGTATCAGTGGGAATTCTATAGGAACTAACCTCCTCTCTTCAGCAAGTTACTGTCATGAAAAAAAAGGCCTTGTTCTAGACTGAAAGACTTTAGGGACATAACAACCAGATGCAATGCCCAGTCATAGATAAGATCATACTTTGTAAATAGGTTGCAAAAGGCATTTTTAGGACAACTGGGGACACCTGAATATAGACTGGGTAATAGAAGATATTAAGAAATTACTACTAGGTATGAAATGAAATAAGGACTGTAGTCTACTTTAGAAAGCTATTGTGTTTTTAGTTAAAAAAAAAAGGGGGGGGGTGGGGGAAAGACATTTGCCCACAAGAACAGGGAGAATAGAAAAGCAAATAATAGCAACAAAATTCTGAAAGCTGGAAGACAGTTGGATGAACAGTAACTGAGCAGACCAAGGCCAAATCTTACGATGGTTGAAAGAAAAAATCTGAGTTCATCAATTTACATTACACGATACTCAAAGGGCTCAAGGATTTATACCAGTTAACCAGGCAAACGGGAATCAAAGAGGGAGAAATGACTGTTTAAGGAATAGTCAGATCCCAAGGTGTTTCCCCAACTCTATGCCATTATGGGAAACAAATTTAGAGGTTTCTATTTAAATTACTTCAAGCTAACATAAACACAAATGACTAGGAGTTTATTTTATTCTCTGAGGAAGTAAAGCAAAGAGTCTCTAGATGGGATTTACCTGAAAGGTGAAAGGCAGAGGATTAAATGAACATATACACACTGAATACTGAGATCCCTAGCAACTAGCTCCCAGGAACCCCTGACTCCTAGGAAGCAGACTGGTGAGTCTTTTGTGGGAAATCATACCAGCTGAAAAGATTCCAAAGATCCTAACGCTGGTTGTTCTTCAACAAATGGTCCAGACTTCAGAGAGGCTTATAGTCAACACACTCCTAACTACATTCTTAGAGCATCCAAAGGGGTTTTTAGTCCTTCACTTGTAACCAGAACGGATTACCAAATAGCCAAGAAAAACCTCTGACACAATGGTTCTCAACATTGCCTGTACATGGAAATCATTTAGGAAGCTTTTCAAAATATTGATGCCTGGATCCCAACTCCATTTAATTGTTCTGGGGTGGGACCTATGTATTGGGATTTTTTAAAAATCCGTGTGTTATCATCCTGTGCAGCCAAGTTTAAGAACCACAGCTCTAACCCTGCATCAATGAAGACAAGACAGCTTTACATGTATAAACATTCAGCAAACAAAAAGAAACTCCTGGAAAGTTAATATGTGCTGACTGAACTAAAATATTCAATAGAAGGTTTTGGAGATTAACTGAGAAAATCTCCCAGAATGTAGAGCAAAAACACACACAAAAATAAGAAAATCATAAGATCAGTCCAGAAATTCCAGAAAAAGAAAACAGGAAAATTGGAGAGGTCAGTAATACGAAAGACTTCAACAGCAATGTTGGAAACTAGAAAAACAATGCTGTTAAAATTATTAAGAAAAAATTTAATTTTTTTTTTAAATGTTGATTTATTTTTTAGAGAAAGCCAGAGTGTGAGTGGGGGAGGGGCACAGAGAGAGGGAGACACAGAATCTGAAGCAGGCTCCAGGCTCCGAGCCATCAGCACAGAGCCTGATGCGGAGCTCGAACTCACGAACCATGAGATCATGACCTGAGCCAAAGTTGGATGCTTGACTGACTCAGCCACCCAGGCGCCCCTGAATTATTATTTTCAACCTAAAAATTTCACACTCAACGAAACTATCAAACAAATGTGAGGATAAAATAAAGACATTTTCAGACATGGATGGATTCACAAATGCCTCATTTTCAAGTAGTTACTAGAGGAATTGGTGAATTCCATTTCTCAAGACTTACTCGTGTTCTTGCTCATAAGAATCTGTAAAATCACTGGGAAGCTGAAACCAGACTATGTGGACCCAAGACTCTACATTCAGCTTATCTTCTCCAGGGAGACTTCAACCCAGAGACAGTCTGAGCTTTCCTTTTTTGACTTTTACTAATTACTATTCTTTTATTTTTTACTAATTTTTATTAATTAGAATAATAAAATATTTTGGGGAAAAATACTTATCTTAGAATACCTTATGTCAATCTAGAACACATATTCAAATATTGAATTAAACATATGTTGAAATAAACTGATAAAGTGAAGAGAAACAAAGAGAAATTGAAACTAGATTTTAATAGTAAAACCCCATTCACTTATAAAATTCAACCTCCATAAGAAAGAATGTTATAATCATATAATGTTGCAATGAAAATTAAAAGTTTATGGCAATGTATCATTTTGTATTGCAGTATTGTTTACTAACCTCTGATTCATCACCCTTCTCTCTATAAGCAGTAGCAATACTGGTCTGAACAGCCTTAATCCATGCCTGGCGCAGTTTTTCAGAATCTGCCTGAAGCATACAACTTCTAAAAGGAAATAACATTGTTTTCTCAGACACTAAATTAACCCCCTAAAATAATAATAAGATTTATTTCACTATTTAATAATCTTCTAACAAAAAGTAATTCCACTGAAATATTTTATTTCATTTATCTTTAGGACAGAGTATATTCATGAAGAAATCAAGGTACCAATAAAATATAAAATAAACCGCCTATTTTAAAAAAATGACAAATTCCTGTACATTTAAAAAAAAAAAACTTTAAATTTACCAAATATAACACCAAGGCTGGAAATATGAAATAATTATCAAAGAAATTGATCTGACATATGACTTCAGTTCATCATCAAGACAGCTAAAAAATTTTCATATGGCTACATCAATAATCTTTATGGAATTTAAAGAAAATGATACTGGGTAGAGGTTACATAAACATCTGACTGTAATACTTGTAATCACTAATTATGAAAATTTACCTTTAAAGCACTTTGTTCCTCTTTAGCACACATAACATCGCAAGTAAAACCCAAATCTTTCTCTACTCAGTAAAGTTCTTTAAGACAAACTATACAAACACAAAAGGAACTCTCATTCTTTAGAACCACTTACTTTGTTGGAGAGACTACCTCAAAGCAGAAACGTCGTTCTATGTCTTCACAGTGTTTCACTGTGCACAGCCTTAGATCTTCCACTACCACGGTGGGGTTATCCTACAATAAGCAAACAAAAATCCCAGGTTTATCAACTTAGTTTTTAAACACAACTACCGATAATAACATACTTAAAAATATTACTTGGAATAAATGGGTCGTCGAATTTTAAAGATTTATATTTCATCTTATTTAAGATTAAAAATAGGAGTTATCAACAGAGATACAACTAATAAAGGTAACTCTGTCCTGTTCATAATTTTATGTGTTTCATAAAATGGCTGTACAAGGATTAAGTGAAAATATATATAAAGAGCTTAATCTAAAACTTGGTACTTAATTAATAGGTGCTCAATAAATGTTAGCATCCTATAAATTTTAATTTTCTTCCTTTTTCTTTCATATCCATTACTTTCCTGGTCCCCCCTCACATATAATAAAAGCTACTTTCCTCAAAAAAGAAGACTTTAATAGGCAAGTCTTAAGTAACTAAAAAAAAAAAAAAAAAAAAAAAAAAAAAAAAGCCTATATACATTCTTCTTTAAATACCTAAGAAAATGAGAAAGAATCTATCATTTTTCTAGTACTTAACAAAAATATAAACTCAAAATCAAGTTTATCAGACCAGAAGAAACCATGAACTAATGAGTTAGAACAAAGGGCTTGTGTGGAATAAGCCTGCAAGCACAAAACCGAGCAAACAAAATGTCAGATCGTGTATCTCTAGAGTAAAGTGAGTATTTAAAATGTACAGTTGTATACTTCATTCACAAAGACTCACAGGTAAAATTCAGGTCATCAATTAACTAATGGAGTTTTTTTCTTAATTAGTTTTAACATTCTCAAGTCTCATGTAATCTTAGTATGTCTTTCTGATAAACAAAAATTCCTTACCCTTAAAATAAGGTTCAAGAAAAGAAATGTATAAAAACAACATTAACAAATTTAGAGGTTTCTATTTCAATTACTTCAAGCTAACATTTTAATGTCATTTTTTAACATTTCCATATTATCACCTTTGGCCCTAAGGTGATATTTATTAAAAGGCATCTTTTCCTTCGGCATCAAAATAGTACTATGGAATGGCAGTATTGCTCCTGTCATACTGCTGGTCAAAGAAACGTGAAGAAACAAAAGTAATAATCCTGGGACACAGAAACACCCATCTCAAAACTGTAAGTTAAGAATTCAGCATTCAAAACCACTCTGCCGTTAAGGAGATACTGATACTTTCCACTTTTGAGTCCTCTTACACACACCTAAACATAAGACTAATGAACGATAATTTTGCACGCAGGAGTATTTACAAGATGAACAGACAGAGAACTAAAACGGAAGACTCACTGGGCTTTCACTTCATTAACAAAGCACCTACCTTAAACTTTTTCTGGTATACCAGCTGATTGTTCTGTATTGAAAACCAGCGTCTAAATAAATAAAAATAGATTAGGTTTTCATAAACATAATTTATGTCAGTTGTTAGAAATAAAATATTTGGGAAAGCACTAGAAAATCAGTTTATGTTAATTATGTTTTGAGAAGTACATTGTTTTGTTTTGTTTTGTTTTATATAGACTGATGTCAATGAGATAATTATGGAAAGTAAAGAACAATTTTAAATAATTTTAAAACCACAGATTAGGAAAATAAGATTACTGTATTTTGATTCATTTTATCTCAGAAATTTATATCCTAATAACAGCAGTTATCCTTTATGCTATCACGAAAAAATAATTGTTTTAAAGTAAAATTTTAGTTTGAGGTTACTCAAAAAGAACTAAAATCTTTCCCCCAAAAGAACTGCTTCTATTATAAAGTAGAAAGAAATTTATGTTGTAAATAAGACTATCCATTTGTACACAGTAAAACACTGAAATAAATGGTGCTTTGTTTTCAACCTTTCTGCAGCTAATTCAGCAAGCATTTGATTTGTTAACCAAAACAAGAAATTAAATCAATTTAGAAGTGATATCCAACAAGAGATAATCGCCAATTCACTTGACCTCACTTTAATATAAAATATTTCTAAGCAGAATAATCACAGTTATTACTAAAAATGATTCACCTATTTATACTGTTCTTCTCATTCTTATAAATTATTACACAAACAATTTACTTGCAATCTTCTTTAGAAGAAAAAGCTAAGCTATATATGGCATACTGACTAATTCTAATTTATTAAAACAGTAAAAGATCCTAAAGACTTACAAAAAAAAAAAAATCACAGCCAAAGCCATTCATAAAAGGAAGCAAAAATTCTCATCAAGCATGAAAGGTAAAACTATTTGAGTCATTGTTTTAAAATTAGTTTCAATGTGAGATGATTTCTATTGTAAACATTAGTTATTAATCTATTAGCAGATAGAGATTCTACCTTTTCATTGATACTAATGCAAAGCACTGGAAATTGTATTTAGACACATTGAGAATTTCTATTTTAAAAAATTAAGTTAATTCTCCAAAGCTGAGAAAATGATTAGATGCTTTTCTATTTTTAAGCTAGACAGATAGTTAGGTTTTCTTTCTTGCTACTTAAAAAAGGTATCACCTTTACCATTAAAATAGAGATCTGTTAAATAAGCATCTAGTTAAAACCAAGTGAGTTGCCTCTAAATGCAAATCATCAAGAGGCAGGCCAGAAAAGGAAGAACTTCAGGGTTTCTTTGCTTTGGGACACAAGGTTAGTTAGAAATGTTAAAAGGAAATACCTGTAAATAAACAACATGGTGCAACCCTGCCATGTGGGATGACATGCAATGGAAACAGTCTGTGACAGTGACTAAAGTGTTCTGTGAGAAATCATTCGAAGTAGGGTGACCTATACTAATAATAATTCTTACGGTTTATAGTATAGTGATCATATTATAGAATTTGATAAAAAACTAATTTTACTGCACAATGGAAAAACACCCATTTGGCCACTGAAACTTTCCATGCTTCTGAGGTCTTTAAAAAAGGAATTTCTTTTCAACTGCTGTATCTTAGGATAATAACCTCTAAAAATAACAAAACAGCACATAAAAACTTTTTTGGTCAGAGACCACTTCCTCTGGTCATTAACTGTTCAGATCATGTGTATTACTGAAACTCAGTTCCCCTGCTATCTATCTTTTGCTGGGGGACTTGCTCACATCAGCATATTTTTGAACACTCAGGGAAGACACTATAAATTCATCTTAATTTTGACATTTCCTAAGGAACAAAAGCATAATGTACCTCACTAGAAAAAAAATTCAATTATTAAGATCTGTATGTCGTATGACACTGTCTCTCCTCCTCTGCCATTAAAAAAAAAAGACAAAAGAGCCAACTACACTCATTTACATTGATCAAAACTTTAATCAAGTAAGTAAAATGGAATATAATTTTTAATTGCTCCTATAGATTAATCCTAGTTATTACTAACATCTCTAATAAAAGGAAAAATGAGACAGTTCATAGCCAGTGAATAGAATAAAATACTTAATATTTCAAGCTCATACTATCTGTAATTGGGAGGCACCTCAAAAGACAAACTATAAAAAAGACAAACTTTAGAAAGCACTGTGCTGACACTTACACTATATTCTACAAAATTCAAATGCGGACCACAAAGCCAAAAAACTATTTGTATACAGGAAATTTTCTTGGGGCACCTGGGTGGCTCAGTCAGTTAAGCATCTGACTCTTAATTTCAACTCAGGCTGTAATCTCACGTTTTGTGGGATTGAGCCCCATGTCAGGCTCCGTGCTGACAGCATGGAGCCTGCTTGGGATAGTCACTCTCTCTCTCTCTCTCTCTCTCTCTCTCTCTCTCTCTCAATAAATAAATAAACAAACAAAAAAACAATGAAAAAGGAAAATTTACTTGGTTCATTAAGAAAAATAATACATCACTTTATATCCATTCCAAATTGAACTAACTCAATAAAGATCTTAGACCAAAGTACTAAATTCATGAACAATTTGATATTATTGATTTTCAAATATCTATGAGAGCTTCCAGATAACAAAACAGGGGGTAAAGGAAAAAAAATATTAAAAAATAAATCAAGTGTCTTTTACCATGTTTGATCACTAGTCCTCAAACTGTATTTGAAACCAGGAATATAATGTAAAAGTCAAACTTCTAAATCTGTATAAGCTTTCTCACTAGAACTGTAAAAATGACAGATTTATGCACATATTCATATATGTGTCAAATAGGTGAATATTTAACAAAATTTAAAGCTTGAGCATGTAAGGTTACTGTCTTTCAAATGCAATCTAATTTTTCCCAAGGAAAAAGACCAAAATGTTAAATCTCTAAAAACTGACAATGGTTCCTTTCAATAAAACTAATATGAGGGGCACCTGGGTGGCTCAGTCAGTTAAGCATCTAACTTCAGCTCAGGTCATGATCTCATGGTTCCTGGGCTTGAGGTCCGCATTGGGCTCTGTGCTGACAGCTCAGAGCCTAGAGCCTGCTTCAGATTGTGTCTCCTTCTCTCTCTGCCCTTCCCCACTTACGTCTGTCTCTCTCTCAAAAATAAACATTAAAAAAATTGTTTTCTAACTAATATGACTATTACCAAAAAGGCCAATTCCTAGTTATTGTTTAAAAATTTGGAAAGTATTTACTAGCTTATTTCCCTTAAAAAAAAAAAAAAAAGATATGAAGGCGTTCATATTACTAATCTATTATCTTCATTGGGTATCTATAAATATATCAAATGTTCTTTTCCAGATTAAAACAAATTGAGAAGATGGGCATTGAAAGGATAATTCCACTTCTCAAATATAATGTTTATGTTTCCTTCCCAATTTAAAACATGAGACATTATATCCATTGCAAGTAATCCAACTGAAATGCAGGTTAATTATGAGCTTTCTCGTGCCAAAGAGGAAACTGGAGTAAGGCAGGAATGAGGGGAAGGAAGCCATTTGGTACCTGATATGATCGGGCTTTTTCCTGTCATGTGAAAAAATGGGGTAGGATTAAAACATAAAGGAAAGGCGGTAAAAGAATGAAAACGCAAATGTGCAAAATAAGCAAAGGACTAGCATGATATGAAAATAAAGCAAGAATTAAAGAAACAAGCTTAAGCTCATAACCTAACAAAACAGTCAAAAATATCTGTTGCATTTTGTTTTCAATTCATACATGTATGCATTTACACAGGTAATTCCAACTCTTATGACTCTGAGATGCTAACATTTCAGAAATATTCAAAAATTTTCTTCAATTATTATGGTATAAATAGTTCTTGTAGGACTTAGTACACTTGGGCATATGTCTACTATTATTTTTATGCCTCTATGGTGATAGCTATAAAATATAAACAGTACTTTTCCTCATCTTAATAAGTTGCTCCTAAAAAATTAAGGAAAATAATCACTATATATATATATATATATATATATATATATATATATATATCTTCACAAACCTGAAACAAATGAGAAAACTTTTCATAGGAAAATTGGATCCATTAATTAAAATTTCAAGATTATAAATATTGTTAATAGCTAAACCTACCTCCACCTGTTCTCCCCTTTTCATCAATGATAGCAGAGACTCAAAGGCCACACATATATCTTCATTTTTTTTTAAGAGTATCTTTAATACACACACATACGCATTTTGTAACAAAAGCCAATAAAAAAATAAAACATGTATCTGTGCCTGCAGTATCTAGAGTACTTTAAGACACTGCATAATATATCTTATACTTTTAGTTATATTTTCTATCTCATTCAACAAAGACTGGAGCATAGTTTGTAATTATTCAGCCTTCTTTATTCATTTTAACCACACTGCCTAATCTTAGTATTTAATTATTTTCCTACTTCATTCATCTTTTCAGAATTTATCATAAAAAGCAACAGACATATAGGTACGAGTAATCCATCTGGCACTGATTTGAGCCTAAGGTGAAGCTGCCACATTGAGAAGATGGCCTGATATGGAAAGAATAATTTTAGAATGCGTCTTACATGTCTTCAGAAAAATATATATTATAGACATATAAAAATCTTAGGAGACACTACAAACTAGAAACCTGAAACCAACCAACCAGAAACAAACGCAACAATTCACATAAGACATAAAACCCCTCACTGCTTACACTCTTTCAATCACATCACACAAAATATGATTTCTTCAGTTAAATTTCAAATTATAGAATGATGTTTAGATTTTATGAAGCACAAGGACAGGTTTTAAAACTACCTGGGAATTCCTAATCAAATGCATTTACCTCAGGAAGGAAGTCTTTTTTAAAAGTTGGCTTAAAGAAAAAAAATAATAAATAAATAAATAAATAAATAAATAAATAAATAAATGAAAGTTGGCTTAAAGAAAAAAAAAGTTAGCTTAAACAGATGATGGGAATTATTAAGGAGGGCACTTGTGATGAGCACTGGGTGTTGTATGAAGCGTGGAATCACTAAATTGTACATCTGAAATTAATACTACACCGTATGTTAACTAACTGGAATTTAAATAAAAACTAACCTATTAACTAACTAAATAAATAAATGTTGGCTCTGAAAATATTACATGCCTCTATTCCATGAACAATAGATGATGGCAAATTTGTCATCATATAATTAGTACCCTACAATGACTACAAAGAAAATGTTCCCTAAAACTAATCCAGAGACAATGTAAAGAAGATACTTAAACAGTAGGTAGAAAAATCTTTATGCTTGAATAGCTAGAATCCTAGATTTTTAAAGTTAAGGCACAAATATTACAAATGCAGTCTTTTATTCCAAGTCTAATAGAATATATTAACAAGCTAGATCGAGCACTAATTTGAGAAGTAGGGCAGACTCCAAAGTCATATATAAGTAAAGAGAAAGTATTTGCAAATATTTCCTGAAATTAGATTTTTTGTAAATTTCATGTAAGAAATTTAAGATATATTCCAAGCTTTTTAAATGAAAAGCATTAGAATACACTAAATAACACTTAATAGAGTTCTTTCTTCTCTCTTTCACAGTTACTGAACTATAACCTAGAAAATATCTAAAACTTCTCTTACAAGATTTAGATTCTTGTTTTTGTGAAGACTTTTATATAATGTTTATATGCTATATTCCTTAGAAGACTGCCTTTTTACTAGTATTTTCATGAAAATGATCTTTTCAAAGGCATATGAAAATGAAATAATTTGCTATCCATAATTTTTCCTAATAATGTAAATAGACTAGGAAGTTTTTAAAAAGTTTTTAAGCTATTTTTAAAATATTTGACATATTGTTTCATCAAAACACAAATTTATATGGAATTTCCACAGCAAATTTTTTTTTTAAATGCCAGGTTTCGGGCCTCGGTCTTTCACAAACCAGCTGCGTATCAATGAGCAACAATCTCTCTGCACCTTCATTTCTTTACTAAAACTTAGGGTGTTGAAATACGATCCATGATTCTCATCAATAATGTCATCCCACTACAATTAGATGGTAGCTCCTTTAAAAAGCAGCTTCAGGGGCGCCTGGGTGGCGCAGTCGGTTAAGCGTCCGACTTCAGCCAGGTCACGATCTCGCGGTCCGGGAGTTCGAGCCCCGCGTCGGGCTCTGGGCTGATGGCTCAGAGCCTGGAGCCTGTTTCCGCTTCTGTGTCTCCCTCTCTCTCTGCCCCTCCCCCATTCATGCTCTGTCTCTCTCTGTCCCAAAAATAAATAAACGTTGAAAAAAAAGCAGCTTCATTTCCAAAGGCATGGTCTCTCACTTTCCACGTGGAAGATAACAGGTCTACAATTCAGAATTTAATAGTTATTCCCTACTTGATTTTAGTTAGTTACATTTTATTATCTATGCCAATTAATAGAATTCATGAAACAAAAAATTAAAAACAAAAGGTCCATGCTTATGGGATGCCTGGGTGGCTCAGTCAGTTAAGAATCCAACTTGGGCTCAGGTCATGATCTCAATGGTTTGTGAGTTTGAGCCCACGTTGGGCTCTGTGCTGACAGCTCAGAGCCTGGAACCTGCTTCGGATTCTGTCTCTCCCTCTCTCTGCTACTCCCCTGCTTGCTCTCTGTCTCTGTCTCTGTCTCTGTCTCTCTCTCTCAAAAATAAATAAATATTAAGATTTTTTTTTAAAAAAATGAAAGGTCCATGCTTAAATCAGTATTAATTTTCTCCTATTGCCCTAAATGGCAATACAATTTTCCACTAACACTTACTGTGCTTCATTTTGAAGTCTGAGATCATTTCTCATTGGAGTAGTCCATGGAACATCATTTCATTTCTTCTTAACATAATGGTATAGGTTCTATGGATTTATTGTATTTTCACTGTGTTAAACTTTAAGTAGGTTGTTTTGAAATCTGAAGGTTAAAATTCAATTCTAACATTACGTCATGAAACCATACTGGTTGAGAAATCTTTCTTTATTACAAAAATTTGACACACTATTTTTTACTTTAATTTCCTATTCTAGCTATGGAAATTTGTCAGGAAAAACTTAAAAGATTATTGTCTTAATTTTACACCTTAGAAAACAGAATTTTAATTTCTTATTTTCACTTTATAATAGTTAAAAATATTATTTCTAACCAAACCACTTAGTTGGTCCTTCTGGTTCAGACATTATTTTAGAAGTTCTACATAATTCAAAATGGCTTAATATCATATATAATCACTTTTCAGTTTATATTCATTCTCAGATAAAGAAAAATTATTTCAAATAAAACACACCCCATTCATTTAAATATCTGGCAATATCAAATGCTAGGGAAAGGCTCAACGAATCACTGACATTTGAAAATACCACTGAATGTTTTTCCACATAACCTCATCACCAAGAAATCAAAGTAAGTGGGAGCCCATTTTAATATTTTAAATATGCAAGAATAATAGTTTTCCATTTAAATTGGCAAAAATGTATACTACATTAAACTTACCGAGAAAATTCTATTATTTTGCTAATGTCCATTTTTTTTAAGAAAAGAAAATAATATTCTCTATCATCAAGTGAATTTACATCTTGTTCAAGTAGCAAATAAAATAAACACATTCAGCCAATAATATAATAGTAAATCAAGTCACCAGAGCCTAATGTTACTCTCAATTATTACAAAATAGTTCTATTTGGGGGGAGTTTTTTGCAAAAACAAAAACAAAAACAAAAAGGAGGCATCCTTGAATAAAAGACTAATCACTACTATTTGGAAGTATAATCCTGAGTCAACACAATCTTTTTTTATTCTTTAATGTCTGAAATTATTTTACTTTATTAGATTAATACACAGAAAAATATAATTAAATATTTAATATATATATTTAACAGATATTTGCTGGATTAATATCTTTTAAAAATCAGTTTAGCAGAAAAAGAAAAAGAAAGCCAAGTTTTTGGTCATTGTCAAGTTTAGAATACAGGAGCCCCGACTGCCACACACACCATACCAAGTATATGTGCTGCCAAAGCGAGCACCACACTTCACATTTAAAAACAAGCCCATTTCTTAAAAGTCCTGGTTAAAGTTATTAAAAAGATCAAAAACTCAGGATCATCTGGCTTAAAAATTCATAAGCAAACACTAAATTAAAATGTATATAAACATCTTACAGAGAGGAACCCAAAGGAGAAAACAATTCGTGCTTCCTGGTTTAAACTTTGCTTAAATTTTAGATTTTAGAATTAGTGCTATCATTTTTCACTTGCTTCTTAGGGTCCCCTTTCTTAGAAGGGAGACTTATCTTTAATGGACTGGGTTCAAGAATGCTATTGTAGACTGCGAATTTAAAGAATTAGGAAAGAAAGAGTTGGCCAAATCACAGGGAAGGTCAGAAAACTGAGACTATGGAAATCAACACTAGTTTTTGAAATATATTACCTGTTCCAAGTTTTGAAGGCATTGCTGGCTCGTTTGAACAAATATCCTTCCATAACAATGCCATTTGCAGCATCTACATTATATTCTAACTTAGAATCATCACTGGAGAAATCCTAAACAAAATAAAAAAAGTTCATACGATTACCAAATTTATCATAGAGAAACAGCACAAATCATAGAAAAGTTTTGTATTAAGATAGTATATTAACAGTATTCATAACAAAAGAGGAGACTTAATTATTATAATGACAATGTAAAAACACAGATGATTATATAAAATACACTCTGAAAGAGAAAACAATAGAACTTGATTTATACACTGATTAAAGGCACAAAATAATATGCATACAAATAGACAAAAGGGACAACTAAATACTATATGTGATGTCTTGTTTAAAATGTTTTCATTTTAGAGGTGCATGGGTGGCTCAGTCAGTTGGGCATCCAACTTTGGCTCAGGTCACAATCTCATATTTCATGGGTTCAAGCCCCGCGTTGAGCTCTGTGCTGATAGCTTGGAGCCTGGAGCCTACTTAGGATTCCTGTCTCCCTCTCCCTGTGCCTGTCCCCTGTTTGTGCTCTCTCTCTCTCAAAAATCAATAAAAATTAAGAAAAAATAAAATTGTTTCATTTTATCCTAACATTGTTTTGTGATGTGTGTAACAATTTTTTTTTTAAGTAATATAAGGGCTCTTGGGTGGCTCAGTCAGATGGGCGTCCAACTTCTGTTTAGGTCCTGATCTCACACTTTGTGAGTCTGAGCCCCACATCAGGCTCCGTGCTGACAGCCTGGAGCCTGCTTCAGATTCTGTGTCTCCCTCTCTCTCTCTGTCCCTTCCCCACTCGTGCGCTCTCCCTCTCTCAGAAACAAATAAATAGAATGAATGAATGAATGAATGAATGAATAAATAAATAAATGATAAAAAATTAAAAAGTAATATAGATATATTTAAATTGGGACACTCAAATCTATCTCTATTCTCTAAGTATATTACTATTACGGTATTTTTTAATCTGATAGTAGTAATAACTCCACTATTAGGGAGTTCAGAAGTAGAATAAAGGCTTTTTTCCCTAAAATAAAATTTTGTTTTGCAAAGAAGACCTACAGTTTGAAGTGCTGTACAGTACAGTTTAAATTTGAAGTGCTGAGCTCACTTTTTCATGAGGATTATGGAATCCCTCATAATCTTCTGTCATTCTACTCTTCACTTGAATGCAATTCAAACTTACAATTTTCCTCTAAGGATTCATGAAGTTTTGAAATCAGAAGTGTTATATTTAAAATATTTCCTGATGAACTTACAAAGTCATTTGTATAAAACTGCAAGACTGCTGTTACCCGTTTTAAAACTTTAAAAAATCAGTCTCAGAACTTTCAAAATTACAGCTGGACCAATAATCAAAGTTAGAGTGCTATCCTTTTAGGGAATAGTAAACTTTCTGTCTTGAAAAAGATTCTGGCAGAAGCTAGATGACCACCTGCCAAAAATGCTGGGATGTGAGGGTCCTCCATTGGAGGGGAGGCAGAGGGAGAATTACCCAGGGGCCTTCCAAATTTAAGAGTCTACAAAGATGGAAAATGGAAATAGACTAAATTCAGGAAAACAAAATTCATTAAAAACAAAAACTCTGCTGACATCTTTCAAAATTTAACCATAAAAAGACATGATAATCTCGGGTGCCTGGCTGGCTCAGTTGGTAGAGCAAGCAGCTCTTCATCTCAAGGTTGTGAGTTCAAGCCCCACAGTGGGCATGGAAGGAAGGAAGGAAGGAAGGAAGGAAGGAAGGAAGGAAGGAAGGAAGGAAGGAAGGAAAGAAGGAAGGAAAGAAGGAAGGAAAGAAGGAAGGGAAGAAGGAAGGGAAGAAGGAAGGAAGGGAAGAAGGAAGGAAAGAAAGGGAAGAAGGAAGGAAAGAAGGAGGGAGGGAAGGAAGGAAGGAAGAAAGAAATTAAAAAGACATGATAATCCAAAATAATCAAATGAAACAGAATCTGGGAGCGCCTGGGTGGCTCAGTAGGTTAAGTGTCCAACTCTGGATTTCAGCTCAGGTCATGATCTCATGGTTTGTGGGACTGAGCTCTGTGTTGGGCTCTGGGCTAACAGAGCTGAGCCTGCTTGGGATTCTCTCTCTCTCTGTCTCTCTCTCTCTCTTTCTCTGCCCTCCCCTCCCACATGCAATCTTTGTCTCTAAAATAAATAAACTTAAAAAAATTGAAACAGAATCTGTAAGTGAATTGCTACACTTTCTCCTACATTGTCTTTGAAAAAAAATTTAGGAAAACTTTAATGCCCTCATTTAAAATTTATTTGAGGTGGGAGTGCCTGGGTGGCTCAGTCAGTTAAGCATCCAACTCAGTTTCGGCTCAGGTCACAATCTCACAGTTAATGGGTTCAAGCCCCACATGGGGCTCTGTGCTGTCGGTGCAGAGCCTGCTTAGGATTCTCTCTTTCTCTTTCTCTCTGCACGTCCCTTGCTCACTCACTCACTCTCTCTCAAAGTAAATAAACATTTTTTAAAATTATAAATAAATAATATTTGAGGCTATAATTTAATTAGACAAGCAGGATGTCAGCAATAGATACAACTGAGTTTGGCAACATTCTAAAGGTTTCATTTGTAATGCTGGCAGTTTTTTAATAACCTTGATGCTACTTAAAACATTAAAATATGACCTCCTTGATATATAGAGCATTATAAGTATTTTTCTAATTTTCAACTATATTTCTTGAGGTAAGTCTTCAATTTAATTACTATTAAATCAATTAATATTGTATAGTGTTAAAATGTGACAGATCATAATTTTATAATGAAGCAACTAATAACACTGTATAAATTATATACTATAATTTAAATATATTGATGAACTGTCAAAATAGAAAGGAATACTCAAAAGCAAAAGATTAAGTGAAAATTGGAAGCCGAAGAGGTAAGCAGATCAAAGAAGCCAGATTTCACCTCAAGGGCATTTGCTTCATCAAAACTTGAAGCTTTGGTGTGGGGAAGAGAAGGCAAGACCAAGATTGGCCATAAAGGGAATCTAACTGAAGCTTTTGCTTTTGAAATTACAAGCAAGAAAGACCATTGTCACTACAACTCAAAATTATGTTAGAAGTCCTAGCCACAAGGTAATAAAAAGAATCGGAAAGGAAGAAACTACCATTATTTGCAGATGACTCTGTACACAGAACATCAAACAGAATCCAGAGATAAATTAGCATTTAAAGAGAGCTTAACAAGATAACTGGTTTCAAAATCAATACAGAAAAGTCAATTTTATTCTAGTATGTAACAAAAGTAAACAGTGAGAAAAGAAATTTTTAAAAGATAGCATTTACAATAACATATGCCATATAAGTATCTAGGAATAAATTTGACCAAAGATGTACAAGAAAATATCAAACTTTACGAAGGACATTATAGAAAACTTCACTTTTAATATTTCAAGCTCAGAGATTAGAAGACACTGTAAAATAAAGATACCAATTCTCCCCCATGTTGATTCATAGACCCAATGCAATCGATCAAAATCTCCAAAGCTACTGTTAAGCAAACTGAAAGTCTGCTCTTGAAATTTGTAAAAGAATGCAAAATTTAGTTAATTCACTTTTGAAACAGAGAAGATAGGAGGTTTGCTTTGTCAGATATCAAGATATACCATTAAGCTACAATACTTAAAGGCAGCATAGTATTGCCACAATTAAGACAAAAAGGCCAATGAAAAGAATTAAGAGCTCAAAATAGAACTCACATGTATACAAACATAATGTAAAACAGAGGATATAACAGAGTAATAGGAAAAGAACAAATTTTTTAATAACTGATTCTCGATTATCTAGCTATCAGATTGTGAATACAAGGAAACTGGATCTCTACTCACACCACACATAAACACCCAATTACAAATGGATTTAAGGTCTAAACATAAAAGGCAAATCTATAAACACTTAGGTTATACAGGAGATATACACCAACAGACACAGGGGAAGGTGCCTGAGTTCATTAATGACTAAAGCATAAATTAAAACCACAATGAGATGTCAGTATCTACCCACCAAAATTAGCAAAACTTAACTCTCACAATACCATGGGGTGGCAAGGAGCCCTGAGAACTCTCGAACAGTGCTGCCTGCCAGGAATAGTAACAGCATTTTGAAAAGTGATTTAGCATTATCTACCAATGCTGAACATATATATACCCTCTGAACCAGCAGTTCTACTCCTAGGTATAAATCCATCAGGAATATGTACAGATAACCAAAAGGCATGTACATGAATGTGCATAGAATCATTGTTTCTTTAATTGATCAATTTCAATTCTTGAAAAATCTAAATAGCTACATTAGATACACTTTTCCCTTAATTTTTAGGTGACTGAATCTTTTTCCCTTTTTTTTCTTTTTTTACCTGTAATGCAGCCTTGTGTCAGCATTTAAGGGCAGAAAAAAGCAAAAATAGCATTACTTTCTTCAAAGTAAAGCAGCAATTGACTATTATTTGAAATCAAGCAAATTAATCTTAGATTAAATAATCTATTGCTTTTGTACATCACTGAGCTATGTGCACAGGGAGAGATATTAAAAGATATGTAACATTCATTAAATAATTCAGTTTAACCAAATAGTCACAAGTTTCTAGAAGTATCATGACCTCTCATTTTAATTAGACACAACTGGTTCCAATTTTTAATAATCTTTCCATGGTAATACCATTAAAACAAGTTACCCAACCCAAAGTGAGTCTAACTTTAAACAAAACACAGAGTTAGCCTTACCTGAGTATAACTGGAAGGAACTAAGTTAAACATGGTTTGGTAGAAAATCTTTCCCTTAATAAATAATGTTTCTCTTTGAATGAATATTAATAACCCATCACCAAAATATTTTCCTTACTTATATTACTGACATCACTTTAATTTTTTTCCACTGACATCTTTTATGTCAAATCTAGTTCAGTGGGATTTTAAATTCTAAAGAAACCATAACAAAAGTTGATTTGACCTAATATCATAGGAACAGATTTCTTAAAGCAATGCTAGAAGGCATATTTTTTTAGGGGAACATACAAACACAGTGTCCCTCACCACAAATTATACAGTAGAGTTTCCCACATTAGGGGAAATAGCAAGGGTCAGCACATCTGGAGTCAATGGAAAAGCCTTGCCCTAGAAAAACCACCTTTGTGATCATGATATCTCCCCTGCCAGGTAAGTACAGAAGGCATCTTGTCATATACTTGTGTTATTAGATTCAACCTCCAATTCTCTCCTTTTATTTTCAGATTACCACACAAAAATATCACTATCAAATATCAAATATTTTAAAAGAATAATAAAATACATGCCTGACCATCTAAAAACTTTTTACTTTTCACCAAAAAATGAGGAATTTACCCAATTTAATTACTACAGCAACTCATAAGATTTGTTGCAACATGATAGTATCTTGCTGAAACCAATAACTGAACAGTTGTACAAAATAGGAATTCCTCTCCTTGAACTTTTCTCTTCAAGTACCTTTTGTTGAATGGTGGAATGTTTTTGCTCCATCTCTCTTTTCTCCTTTGCTGCATCTACAACCAGTCGATCCAACTATAAAGGGGGAAAGAGAGAAAATTATAGAGACTTAAAAATTAAAAAAAAAAAAAAAAGGTATGATCATTTTTCAAAAACATACTCTATGTCAGTCCATTTAAATTTCTTTAAAAAAGCATTTTGGCTGCCACTTTAAAATGGAATTTCTTTCTTTTCTGGTATCAAATCCTTTTTGAGAAGGTCTATAACTCCTCCAGGAAAAACATTTCTAAGAACAGTTGTGGTGCTAAGCAAACGTGACAGGTGGCCTTGTCAAGGGCACAACAGGGATAACATGAACTCCCGGAATAAGGAAGAGGACTCTAGCTGAAGTTGCCTGCGGACCCACTCAGCAATTGCAGTAGTCAGAATCAAAGAAAGAAAGAAGACGCAGTGGTGATTTGTTTTCCCCAAACAGCAAAGAGTAGCAGCTAAGCTAGGGTGGGCCAACTCTCACAAGTTCAACAGAACACATACTTCCAATCACTCAAAACGCTTCATGTTTTCAAGTCGGCTTCTTAATGTTATGATCAAATCTAAAAGGCTTAAAAAACAAACAAACAAAAATCTCACCAGATAAAAGAGAAAGCTAATAATTTTTAAAAATAGTAATGATAATAAAATAGTAATCACTCATATGGTCAGGGCATAAAATCACCATTGTTTAACATTCTTTTCTAAAAGCCCAAAAAACTTATGAAATCATAAAATCTCATTTCCTTCTTGTTCCTCTCCATCAGAAAAGATGATTTTCCAGTATCATGACAAATGCCCTGGCTTCTTGAACTACTCTGCTGGAATAACAAACAACTGGGTCATAAAATATTATGTGAGTTTACTCTCCTAGACTGTGATGTATGTCATTTCATCTTCAAACCCCCATACCTCTAACTGATTCATGTGGGGTAAATGAAAAAATAAAAATGTAAATATCAACAGGAATAAGGAGAAAGATAAAGTATTAAATGTCCAAATGTTTTCATTGATATCCTTTAGAAACAAAATTGAAAAAAGCCTTTGTAAAAAAAAAAAAAAAAAAAAAAAAAAAAAAAAAAAAAAAACTACTTGATTCTTTATTCATTCTCTATTACACATGATTTTTATTTTCCTGCCAGAGAATGATTCTGACCACACAATTTTTTTTAATTAAAAAAAAAAATACTTTTTTAAAGTTTTTCTTTAAATCCCAATTAACATACAGTGGAATACTAGTTTCAGGTGTACAACTGGCCATAGAATCTTTTTTATTTTTTAATTTGAGAAAGGGAGAGCACATACAAGCAGGGGAGAGAGGCGGAGGGAGAGAGAATCTTTTAAAAAAAAATTTTTTTTT